CCATTCTAGTTTCTGTGTGTGGATTTTGCTATTCTAGATACTTCATATAAGTGGAATTATATAGTATTTGTTCTTTTGTCACTAGCTTATTTCACTTACCATAATATCCTCAAGAGTCCTTTTAAAGCTGAATAGTATTCTATTGTATGTATATACAATATTTTGTTTATCCACTTATCTATCAATGGACATGGGTTGCTTCTGTCTTTTGGTTATTGTGGATAATGCTACTGTGATGTGGGTGTGTGCATATCTTCTCAGTCCTGATCCCCACCCCAGGGCAGTAACTACTGTGGTCCAGCAGAACCTCCAAGGCCTTGACTTAGCAGCTCTCTGCATTGTCCATAAGCCACAAGTGGGTCTAATCATATGGCCCTGCACCTGGGGATCTGACCTCCACAGGGAAGCAGGGAAATACCTCTGTTGACCCTTACAGGGGCAGTGCTCAACCCCGGACTAGAGGCCAAAAAAGATGAAAGAACCCTTTAAGGCAAAGCCAGGTTGCAAAATTTGATGTTGTTTCAAATGAAACAAAAACTTTCTTCTTTTTATATAAACTTCCTGAATGTCAAGGATTGCAGGAGAACTTCTCAAGAAATAAGGCTACTTCTGCTTCAGGCCACAAGGCTCATAGTTGTTAATCAGTTTTGAGCAAGAATTGCAAGGCAAACAAAAATTTTAATTGTTTTGTTTTGTTTTTAGAAATTGCAATTTGAAGGACAGATTTAGGCAGAAATCCAACTGGGTTTCCAGGGAGAAAGAAAGGGACAGAGTTTATAAAGGCATAAAAAGGGTCACTTACAAAGTGATTACACAAGTTGCTTTGAAAGAGCCGTGATTGATGCTATCTATGATTGATTGCTAGATAAAAAAAAACTTTCAATAGAGAGCTCAGTGATGCAGAGCCAGTTCCAGGAACTGTATCAGGATGTAGCCTTTTGGTTTAGCCCAATTAAAAGTTCAGTTTCAGATGGAGGAAGTGTGTTAGCTCAGCTTGTTGGAGATCTCTGGCTCCATTTTAGATTGCTCTCTTGACAATACCAACTCCATTTTATAGCTTTTCTTTCATACATGACACAGGTCTTCTCTGGAGGGGCCATGCCCAGGCCTGAGAAGAGGGAAAGGGTGGCCGAGGGAAGGTCTTTTTATTTGTAGATACCCACGAAGAGCACTGCGTGGGGGTCACTGCTTTACATGAATATCTTTATCAATAAAATAAAATAACAAAATAAAATAAAAATGAGAGAATACCTTTACCAGGACTGCACTTTACCTTCAAAGGCATCAGCTCAGCTCTGCATGTGCCTACCTACTCCTTGATGCATAAATTATTCTACCTGGGGCCTGGCTGGCATGGCTCAGTGGTTGAGCATTGACCTGTAAACCAGGAGGTCACAGTTCGATTCCCGGTCAGGGCACATGCCTGGGTTGTGGGTTCAATCCCCAGTGTGGGACATGCAGGAGGCAGCCGATCAATGATTCTCTCTCATCATCGATGTTTCTATCTCTCTCTTCCTCTCTGAAATCAATAAAAATATATTTAAAAAAATAAATTACCCTACCTGGGGACCCAGACTGCTCTCCATGCTGAGGACTTGGACGGCAGACACCAATCACTGCCCTTGGGAGAAATGCGTGGTGATGGACACTCACCTGGTGTGGACTGTCTCATCCCTATTCTGCCCATCTCGGAACAAGACCTGTAAGGGAGAGATGAGAGACTAGGAGGGCACTGGAGGTGTGAATGGAGGAATGATAGGTGGTAATTTTCAATGTCTCTGAAGAAAAGGCATTTTCTTTGTTTTAATTTGGGGAACAAAAACTGGAGTTCAGCACCTGCCAAAGAAGAAGGGCTGTGGACAATGAGGTTTAGAGATTGGCTGCACAATTTGTAAAAAAAATATGTTGAAGATATTGACAACTGCCCCTTGCAAGAAGGCCCAGGAGCGGAAAAGGTTTGAGAATAAAAGCAGCCCCAAAGCATCATGAATCTTCTGAGAATGAAAAATAATATCAAGAAAGGTTTATTGCAAAGAAAACTTACAGTCTTGCTATATGTTTCCTTTACTCCTCACCCAGAATACTTCATTCCTGATACTTTTGGTCACCAAATGGGTGGAGGTGTTCCCACTACAAGCAATTCTGTAACACCAGCTAGATATCTTACAATGTAATGTAATTCTAATTCTATCTGGAGATAGTGCCAGATCCCACAGGTTAAGAGCTCAGTCCCATAAGACTATTCTCCCTCACTTCAGATGCAAATCACAATAGTAGGACCCCAGGATACCCACAACTTCTGTTTGATTTGACTAAAATATGAGGTTCCCACAACCACCTCTAATTTGCTAGAGCAGCTCACAGAACTCAAGAAACACTTATGTTTAACAGTTTGTTAAAGGACATGGTGAAGGATACAAGTGAACAGCCAGCTGAAGAGATACACAGGGTGAGGTCTGGGGAGGTCCAGAGAGCAGGAGTCCTGTCCACATGCAGACAGGGGGCATCCCCTCTCAGTACATGGATGTGTCCACCCACCGGGAAGTTCCCAAATCCTATATTTTTGGGATTTTATGGAGGCTTCATCGTGTAGGCATGATTGTTGATTAACTCCATTTCCAGCCTCTTTCCCCTCTTTGGAAGATAGGAGGTTGATGGGGCTAAGAATTCTAACCTACTGATCATGATTTGTTCTTTTTCTTGCCCAATCCTCATCCAAGAGCCCATCCAGAGTCACCTGAATAGAACAAAAAATGCTCTTAGTGTTCTTATCACTTCAAAATTTATAAGAAACTCAAGAGCTCTGTGCCAAGAATCAGGGGGCGGATATATATGTTTTCTATTATCTCACAGAGGAACTATACTATGGGAGGAGGCTTAAGAAAGTCTTCAGGAACACTCCTGAGGTAAAATGAGGGTCCTGACCCCTCTCCCAACAGGACTCAGAGACACCTCTGAGGTAGATGAGGGTCTTAGCCTCTGTCCCGCCGGGTTCCATAGCTCCCACCTTGGAGGGGGAAGGCAGACAGAGTTGCTCCCTGTAGAGCAGTGAGCTGAACCTTGTGCTCCCAGCCTGACTGGCTGACAGACACACTCTGACAACACCCTACCTTTCTCCTTGGATGGAGCCCTCTCTTGGGGTCACAGCGTAGAAGTTTCCTGAGACCTCAGGTTCAGGCAGATGCTGTTCTCCCCGTGGTCCTCACTCTTTATTTGCTCCTGTTTTTCCGGAACTTAGACCATCTGGTGAGTCTGGTCATCCCACCTCTCCCTCTAGACTCCTGGGCTGCAAGGACATGCCTCATCAGTCCAAGCCCTTGTTCATTATCCGATGAGATGACATCTGATCCATGGAACTCGGACCTTGGGAATGGGCCTCACTCAGGGTGACACTGTCAGTGGGGCTGGTCTTCCCCTCCTACCCCAGCCTTGGGGATAGCCTCCCCTTGGGGTGGGTTTGCAGCTTCTGCTGAGTGGGTGCATGTCCACCTGGACCATCCCCTGGGCATGGTGCTGGCTCCCTAGAACTCACGGGGAAGGGGCCATTCATCATGTGCACTGGGAGACCCTGAGAGCCAGGTGCTGGCCCCAGCAGGCATCCTCTTAGGAGTCTCTGGGCTCAGGTGGACAGACTCAGGTTACCACTGCCTATCATCCGCGTGGAGCCTTGAGCTTCCTAAGTCTATTCAGCCCACTGTTGTTTTTTTCTTTCCTCTTGTAGTTTTCAATGCATCTTGAGCTCCTATCAAGTTCTTCATGGTAAGTGCTCTCATGTGCTACATGGCTCTGATTTTGTCCTGCAATTACATTTTTCAGGTGAACTGCACTTTCATTGTGGATGCCCGACCATGGATTTCCCAGTTCACCCTCCTGGACAGCACCTGCCTGCAGACATAGGCGGGGAAGGGGCGCCTGCTTCTCACAGCAGAAGATTCTTTTCCTATGGAGAGTGACAGTGGGTCTGCCTGTGAAGCACAGGGGAATTAAAGGCATCTCAGAGCACTTCCTGGGTCCCTGTCAGTTTTGCATTCTCCTGTTGTTTATTTTCCAGAGAAAGCTCTGCTAGTGGCATGTGGTAGAGAATTTATCACTATTGCTCTTACCTTGGCTGCAGATGCAGAGTGTTGACTAAATCAAACTCACGTGTGCACGTGTGGCTGTCCTTACTGGTTCTTGTAGAGCCCCACTGGTTTGTTTGTATATCCATCTACCCATCCACCCATCCATCCATCCATCCATCCTGTTTTCCATGTGTCCACTTATTTATCCATCCATCTATGTGTTTATTCATTTATTCTCCAATCTCTCCCTGCCCCTCTTCCATTTCACTCATAGGAATGCAGGCAGTTTTCCCAGAGAGCAGCCTCGTGTGTCCCCTCTGCTTCCATATCTGTGACCATGATCACAGTGGGTGGCCCTTTGGGGTATAAACCCATCCCAGTATAATAGAAGTCCCTCTCTGCACTGCCAAGCCTGGGCAGGCCTCATAGCGAGTAGGGCAGCAGGTGCCAGAGGTGGTGTAGAAGACTGTGCACTGACCTCTCCCTGACTCTTTCTTTGTTCCCTGAGATTGTCGGCTGCAGCCAAGGTCAGAGGTTGACCTGGCTTTTATATCAAGTCCTTAGGGTCCATCGGTATTCCTAAGAGCTCCTGTGACTCTGTCATCCCCACGCTGTACTGCTGTGAGGGCAAGCTAGCAGGGCTTCAGACCCCTACTCAGGCCCTATCAGGGTTGGCCTGGGGCAGGAGGAGGCAGCCCTGGAAATGTGCAGGGAACAGGTCATGTGGCATGAATGTCCTTGAGTTCAAGGCTTATGTGACCAAGGGTTGGAAAATGTTCTTCCTTCCGTTTGGTGATGACAAGGAAGGGAGCAGAGAGGAGGAGCCGGTCAAGGCGCAGTTCAGCGCGCGGATTCTGGGGGCAGGGCTGTGTGGGATGGGGAGCTATGGAGGCGGCGCCAAAGCAGCTGCCACTCAACACTGGCGTGCTGCTGGCCCCCAGGGCTGACACCAGGCAGCATGCTCCTGAAGGTGCCTCTGCTCCTGGGGCTCATTGCACTGGGGCCTCCTGTCTGCAGTTCCAAGTTTGTGGACGAGAGTAAGAACACGCAATTATTTGCCATAGGTGTGGAGTTTGCCATGTTTCAGTTCAACCAAGCCCAGGAAGATGAGTATGCTTACAAGCTGCTGTGGGTGGGGAGAAGCCAGCGCAAGGTAAGCGGTGCTTCAACGCCTCCCCCCTTCCCTTCCCCCAGCCCCTCTCCCCGCCAGGCTTCATGTTGGCCCTGAAACAGACCTGGGAGAGGTGACTCCTTGGTCTGCAAAGGAGGAAAGGAAGATTTTTTGTTTTTGGGAAATATTTTTTAAAATGCAAGGTATCATTACAAGTGCTTCAAGTTTCTGTTTTGGTTCCTTAACGAGTGAAGCCCCTAGAAATCAGGATAGAGAAGGAAAGGAGACAGCAGGAAGGAGAGCACTCAGTGGCCGGCTCTGTGGGGGAGAGAAAAGCAACCTCTCAAGTGAGGCAGCTGAGAGAAGCAGGGCAGCAGAGATTGACAGGTGAGGAGAACGACAGAGAGAAGCGGCTGCTGGAAACAAAAGCCCCAGAAGGAAAGGTGGCACAGAGGCACCTGGCTGCAGCCTGGGCCAGGCTCCTGGGAGCCCCGCTGTGCTGATCTGAAGGCAGGGGCTGCGATGTTTCCTGCTTGAGTTGAAGCCGGCAGTCCTTGACCTGGCAGCCACTGTGGGTCCAGGCCTGGTGGGAGGCGGCAGAGAGGACAGACGGAGACATGTTCTCATGGGACTGTTATGCCGGTGATGAGAGGCAATCAGGCGTCAGGTTCATGAGTGAAACAGTGGAAGTTGGGACAAGAATGTCAGTGCAGGGACCCAGGGCCCTGGCAGGCAAGGTATGTGGGGGCGGTCAGAGAGGGCCTCTCTTTGATGGGAACTCCTGGAAGGACCAAGTCACATGGTGGAGGTTTGGGGACAAGAAGGGCAGGCAGCCACCAAGAGGTCCCTGGACCAGGACAAGCCCCGGGAGTCCTGGAAACAGCCAAATAGTCTGAACCTGTGTCACAGAGGAGGGTTTTGGTGGAGGTGAGGCTGGGGCATGCTCAGAGCCACAGGTGAGGAGTTAGGATTTTATTCTCAGAGTAATGAGGACCCATGGGGGGAAGCAATTCAGATGCTTTAGCGACATCTCTCTGGATGCTGTGGGCACAGCGGGGTCCACAGCCCATGGGCAAGCTGAGACCAGGAGGCAGGGACAGTTTTCTGGTCACCAGGAGATAGAAGAAGTGCTGGCGTCTGGGTCTGCTTCAAGGTGGATGTGGGGTGCACTGAGGTGGGGTGTGAGAAAAACAGTGGGGTCAAGGGCAGACCCAAGGTGGAAAAATCTAG